GAAAAAAGATTGTTTGAATTTTGTACCATCCCTGCATCTACCTCTCTTCCTTATCCAATCTCCAGTCCAACGTTCTGATTGAATCACATTATACCAAGTTGTTTTCTCCTTTCCTAATATTGCTTTTATCTCCCCTTTCATATTCAATTTCTCTACCCAGTCCTTTGATCTAATTATTAGTTTATTCTTTAACATTTTCCCTAAAATCTCCCTCAAATTTGATGGAAACCCTTCTAATTTAGTAAGTAGGTATAATGGTGAGATTGATGGAATACTTTTTTCCTTATTCCAAATTTGTAATGTGTTTTTAAGGAAATAATTTTCCATTTTTGATAATATTTTATGTCCATATTAGAAAATAAGATCTATCAAGGATCCTTCTAATTGAGAAGATTCTAATCTTAACCATACTACCTTATTGGGTTGTAATATTATTTCTGGTATGTGCTTCACTTAATTAGCTACATAACTTTACATAAGGAATACCCAATCTCCTTATCCTTTGTGATCTATACTATATTTTAAAATTTATTCTTGTTTTCTTGTCTCCATGTCTCCATTGCAAAACTTATTAATGATATCTTGCCATTATTTTAATCTTTATCGCTTAATTGGTAACAATATAAATGAAAATTTCCTAAAATAATTTTTAATCTTAGATAATGCTATTCTACCAAACCAAGATATGTTGTGCATGTTCTGACTGCTCAAATGACCAGCTGTTTCCCTGTGTCTCTCCCTTTCCTCATGCATTCCTATTCCCTGAGACAATATTGAAATTAGGCCAATTATTAATCCTCTAATGACCTCTAAATGTTTGGGTGAAAGGAAGAGTCACACATCTCTCACTTTAAATCAAAAGCTAGTAATTATTACACTTACTGAGGAGGACACATCAAAAGTTGAGATATGCCGAAAGCTTTGCCTTTTCTACAGTTAGTAAATTGTGAATGCAAAGGAAAAGTTCTTAAAGGAAATTAAAAATGCCACTCCAGTGAACACAAGAATGATAAGAGAGCAAAACAGCCTTAAAGTTCCAGTGGTCTGGATAGATCAAACCGGACACAACATTCCCTTAAACCAGGGGTCAGCAACTCGTGGCTCTTGAACCCCCCTGCTGTGGCTCCATTGCTCAAAACACACAGCCACTGATCTGCTCAAAGCTCCACTCAGGAACACAGGGTTAAGCAAATCAGCTAGTTAAGTAAATCACTACATTCCTCTGTTAAACAAGCTTACAGGCTCTCATGTTACACGAAAATATTCTCTTTGTCCCAATGTAATCTTCTTCATCTGAATGTTAAAAGCTGTGCTTGGGACCTGTCACAATTCATATCACTTGACTGTTATTTCAGGGGTCTACAACCTTTAACACTCAAAGAGCCATTTGGACCCATTTCCCACACCTATATCTCTGGCACAGCCTCCGATCTGTGGATTCACACTGATTTACTGAGCTCTCCCCCCCCCCCCCATAGGCCAACCATGGATAAATCAAAGAAAAGTTTCTGAAGAAAACCAAACATTTAATGGTACATGGGTAGATTCATTTGCTGTTACTGCTGATGAACTTATGGGGTTTGCTGTTTAATGCATGCAGCCCTTTAGCACTGACTTTGGCTCTGCAGGAAGCTGTTCTCCTATTCAAAATATATGAAAGGAGTCCTACTAGTTTATAATGTAAGATTAAAAATAACAGTTTTTAGTGACTGAACAAGAGCTGCAGCTAAATCATAATAAGATATACATAGCATTAAGGTAAAAAAATGATATATGCAGTGTTATCTTCATTTTAGATGTCAAAAGGGTTTTGCGGCTCCTGGTGTATTCTTTTGTGTGGGAAATGGGTCCAAATGGCTCTTTGAATGTTAAAGTTTGTTGACCCCTGCCTTCAACCAAATCCTAATCCAGAGCAAGGCCCTAACTCTCTTCTATTCTATGAAGGCAGAGAGAGGTGAAGAAGCTACAGAAGAAAAGTCTGAAACTAGCAGAGGCTGGTCCATCAGGTTTAAGGAAAGAAGTCATCTCCATATAACAAAAAACGCAAGGTGAAGGGGCAAGTGCTGATGTCAAAGCTGCAGAAAGTTACCCAGAAGATCAAGTTAATTATGGAAGGAGGCTCCACTAAATAACAGATTTTCAGTGTAGATGAAACTGCCTTATATTGGAAGAAGATACCATCTAGGACTTTCATAACTAGAGAAGAGAAGTCAATGTGCTAACTCTTAAGAGACTCTTTTGTTAGGGGCTAATGTAGCTGGTCACTTTAAGTTGAAGCCAATGCTTGTTTACCATTCTGAAAATCCTAGGGTCCTTAAGAATTATCCTAAATCAATTCTTCCTGTGCACTGTTAATTGAGCAACACTGTCTGGGTGACAGCACATCTGTTTACAACATGGTTTATTAAATATTTTAAGTCCACTGTTGAGACTTATTGCTCAGAAAAAAGATTCTTTTCAAAATATTAGTGGTCATTGACAATGCACTGATCACTCTAGAGCTTTGATGGAGATGTACAATGAGATTAATATTAATGTTCATGCCTGTTAACACAACATCCATTCTGCAGCCCATGGATCAAGGAATAATTTCAACTTTCAAGTCTTATTATTTAAGAAATTCATTTCATAATACTATAGCTGACACAGATAGTGATTCCTTTGATGAATCTGGCCAAAGTAAATTGCAAACCTTCTGGTAAGGATTCACCATTCCAGATGCCATTAATAACATTTCTGATTCATGGGGAGCAGTCAACATATCAGCATTTAACAGGAGTTTGGAAGAAGTTGATTTCAACTCTCATGACTTTGAGGGATTCAAGGCTTCAGTGGAGGAAGTAGCTGCAGAAATGTGGTAGAAATAGCAAGAGAACTAGAATTAGAAGTGGAGCCTGAAGAGGTGACTGAATTGCTGCAATCTCATGATCAAACTTAGGGTTAGGATTACTTCTTAGAATGAACAAAGTGGTTTCTTGAGATAGAATCTACTCCTGATGAAGATACTGTGAAGATTGCTGGAATGAGAATAAAGGATTTAGAATATTACATAAACTTAGTTGATAAAGCAGCAGGAAGGTTTGAGAGGATTGAGTCCAGTTTTGAAAAGTTCTACTGTGGGTAAAATATTATTAAACAGCATCACATGCTACAGAGAAATCTTTTGTGAAAGGAAGAGTCAGTTGATGAAGCAAACTTCATTGTGGTCTTATTTTAAGAAGTAGCCATGGCCACCCCAACCTTTAGCAACCACCATCCTGATCAGTCAGCTGTCATCAACATTGAGGCAGGACCCTCCAGCCAGCAAAAAGATTACAGCTCACTTGAAGGCTCAGATGATGGTTAGTATTTTTAGCAATAAAGTGTTTTTAAGTAAGATATGTACATTGTTTTTTAGACACAAGACTATTGCACACTTTATACTATACTGTAGTCTATTAACAACTTTTATATCACTGGGAAACAAAAAAAAGTCTGACTTGCTTTACTGCGATATTCACTTTATTGTAGTGATTTGGAATTGAACCCGCAATATCTCTGAAGTATACCTATAATGTACTTTAATTTCCTTGGACTAGGAGTCCTAAACAAAGCAATTCATTCTCTTTTCCTTTCTGCACCCTTTAAAAACAGCTCCTGATGTAGTTCCGGGGGTGAGTGTGTAGTGTTTGTAGTGTCCTGTCTTCTAGTATATAGCTCATGTGACTTTATGATCAGGCCTAAAAAAGCAGTATTTATTTCCTTGCTGTAAGATTTTCAGTTATCTCTTTTATGAGTGTTGCTTCCCATGTTAAATGGCTGCTTTAATCTTTTGATTTAAAACCAAGTATGGGATTAAGGTATGCTTTTTTCTGCTTGTGGGAATAGTCAGCAACTTGAACTCCAGGTGTGAGTTGAGTTGGATTCATTCTTTTCAGGCATTATAATTTTATTTCATAAGGATAAACAAAGTCTATAATGTGAAGTATAAAAGTCTTTGCTTTTTGTTGTGGTGTTGATCCTTATTTTAAAGAATATTCTCATTGAAGAATTCCATAGAGTTTTTCTTATTAAAGTCATATTTGAGCATTCTTGCCATCATATTTGCACAGTAATTCTATGGCTGTGCTAAACTGTAAAACAGACATATAATGCAAACATTTAAACAGTATTTATATAGGATTGCCATAAGTTAGACAACTTGATGGCACATAACATAAAAATATAGCTGTGTAGCTATAGAGCACTATCCTACAGTGACCATAAGCTATCAGAACTAACCACTAGAGTATGAGTCCTCAAACTATGGCCCGTGGGCCGGATCTGGCCCGCCATGCCCATTTATCCGGCCTGCCATAGAGGTTTTGGACTCGCAGCACATGCACGCATGTGTGCTTGGCGAGGTGCCGGCTTGCTCACAAGGAGATTGTTTTGGACTTGCTCAGAGAAGGAGCAAGCAAGTCCAAAATGATCTCCTTGCGTGCAAGCCAGTGCCTCGCCGTGTGGTGGCTTGTTCGCAAGGAGATCCTTTTCTCCGAAAGAAGGGAGAAAACTATCTCTGTGCATACCCGCCCCTGCCTTGCCCCATGCGCATTCCCCCCCCCCCGGCCCGCATCCCCCCACCCACACTGCCTTGGTAGCTGGCGGCCATCACTGGCACCTTTCAACTGGCCTCCTCTTGAAAAAGTTTGAGGACCCCTGCGCTAGAGCAACAAGTATTAGAAGTCCCCAAAGCAAGTGGTAAGCCTTCTTTCTAGAATAGGACAGAGCAATGCAACTCACAGAAGGCAGCACCTCTGATCTTCCCTATTCTGGAAATGAGAGGTTTTGCTTAGTATCAAAGTTGTTTTGGGAATTGTTCGTTCCTGTTGCATTAGTTGTCTGTTCTGCTAGTGCAACACAAACTAGCAGAGCTGAAGAAGCAATATAACATACTGCCTACTATTTTCATGTATTTCAGATACAATATTTGTACTGTTATGGACATCTTGCAGTGTTTTATGTTTACTTTTTCCAGTATGTACAGAAATGCAGGCTCTGCTGATGCTGTTTCAGGCCAAAGATGAAGAAATAGTAGTCATCTGAGCTTGTATTTGATTGCAGAGGTAGATAAGGATGGAAGTATTTTATGAAGTTACTTTGAACTTCCAGTGATGATTTACTACAATACTAACTCCTAACTTTAATTTAAAAGTGAGAGTTGACAAGCAAAATTGGAGAAGCTTTCTGTGCTCTTCAGTGCTTTCAAGTGAAAGTGGAAATTGATACCGAATTACATCCTTAATAGAAAAGACTTCTGCAAAACATAGAAGACAGTAAGTCTGTTAATGAAATAACTACTTCTGATAAGTCAGAATAATAACATAATGGCAGTTGTGACATGGTCTTAGTTCCTGTAATGACTGTCTTACAGCTACAGAAAAGCAAAAGTGTGTGACTGTTTTATGAGAGAATGGGAAGGAGTACTTTCTATTGGTAATGTAGCAAAGTGAAAAATTCTTAGCAATTTGAGCCTTACCTTATTCTTCTTTGCATGCTGAAGTGGGGAATTCCAGCTTTTTTCCCCTTAAAACTAATTTCATCAGTATTTCTCATGGGATTAACCATTCCTGCCAAAAACTATAGCTCTAAATGCTTCACTAATCTAAATGGAGTATTGTTTTTTAACAAGGCAGTCAGTAGTTGCCAATTGTTTGTGGACTGCTTGTTAGATCAATGTTGTAGTTTTGAGTTATATATTGTTCCTAATTTGTGTTTTTCAGGAACAGTCCCTATTAGGAATTACTACAGAAACAGACTTAATTCAGATGTTGCATTTTAATACTAAAGTCTAGTTGTTTAATTAAACTATCTTGATAACTTGATTTGGGCCTTGTATTCCCTGATCTCTATGCTATGTGTGGAGATAAGACAGTGTGATGTCTGAATTGAGCTGCCAGAGCTATACATTTTAGTATATAATGCATTTATTCAAGAGTTTTATATATTGCCCATCTAGAAACATATGGAAGTAGTTTACAAAGCATATAAACAATTAAAAATACCATAAAAATCAGCAAAACACTACACCTTTACTAAACTAGACAGAATGACAGATTGAAGTACTGATATTGCCATGACCTACAATGCATGTTCATTAAAATGATGGGAAGAATAAAGGTTATGCCTTAACCGTTATAAGTTCTGTGCTGGCATTCTCTGTGCTGGGAGCAAGAAGGGTGGGTGCTTTGGGCGCTGGTTCTCAAGAACTGCTGGCTGGTTTTCAAAAGAAACAACTGGAATGTGAAGCAAATCAAAGGGGATTTGGGGAGGATGGACTATGCCTAGAAACTGAGATGAGGGAAGTGGATGCGCTTATTTCAAGGGCCAGGCTCCTTGGGAGCAGGCAGTTCTTGGGAACAACCAAGATATGGAGCCTGTGGTAGGGCATTCTGAACATGAGTGTTTCTCAGATGCAGGCCAGACAGCCCTGGTTCTTGACCCCGATGGAGGCAACAGCAGAGGCGGGTGGCCCAATTAAATGATGGTACACGGAGATGATCTGTGCTTGCTTTCAGGAAACCTTTCCAAATTGGATGGAGCTAGGAATGTTAATAAGGAGAGTTCCTGAAGGTGAATACTAGATTGAGTTCAACAAACCACTCTGTGCATGTTCAGAGATTCATTCTGGGTGATTTGTGCTTTTAGGTCAATAAAGGACACTTTACAATGAAAACAAAGTGGCTTTTGAATGCTTGGAGGAGGAAACCTCGGCTTACAACACTATGGGGAGGGTGTTTCACAGGTGGGGTACAGCAAAATGAAAAAACCATTTCCTGTGTTGCCAGTTACCTGATCTCAGATGATAGTGGCATCTTGAAAAAGATCTCAGTGGAGAATTGTGCTGCTTGGACAGACTGATACAGGAGAAGGTGGTCATTAAACCTGAATCCTGACAGGGCAGAGGCCTGTTCAGCAGTAAGATGTGCAGTCTATTCTAGATGGGGTTGCATTCCCCCTGAAAGGGTAAGTGCATATCTTGCAGGTACTCTTATATACAGCAGTGTCACTTGTGGTTCTTTTGGTTTCAGTGGTTCTGAGTACCTCTTCCTGGTTTGGCTGATTTGCCAGGTATAACCATTCTGTGGTGGTTCATGCTTTGGTAACCTCTTGATTGGATCACGTATGTGAGGCTACCTCTGAAGATGACTCGGAAGTTTCAAGTAGTGCAGATTGTGACTGCCAGAGTATTAATAGGCATACTTGGGTGGAATTATATTACAGCAATTCTGAGGGACCTGTGCTAGTTGTCTTCTAGGACCAGTTCAAGGTGCTGGAAGTTACTTTTGAATCCGTAAAGAGTTTGGGACCAAAAGCTTGAAGAAACACTCCTCCCCTATACCAGCCTTCCTTGCTCTAAGATCTGTAGGAAAAGCTCTTGTCAAAGCTGTGATACTGTTACTGTGAGTCTTACTGTTTTTCCCCCAATGTATTGTGTTTTTCTAGGTTGAAGACTTTGGGTGACAAATCAAGAGAAACCAAAATAAGCAAGCAAAGGTGCTGTTGGCTTTTTTAACATCATTTCATTCCATTTTGGTATAATGTTCTATCTTCTAAAATTGTTTCAAAAGCAAAATTTTTACTTATTTAGTACAAATAATTAAATGACATTTGTATGGCATGGCATGATAATTTGTTCTAAAGAACAATGTCCAAAAATCTTAACTGGATTTCATTTTTTATTTTTATATTTCTTAGCATACATTAATTTGTTGAGCAGTAGTAGCAAAATGTAGTTCTGGGTACTGTATACCAATTAGTATTTTTATTTACTTTATTTAGTAATTTTGGACACAGGGCTCTCTAGACAGTTTACATGATAAAAACCAACAACATAAAACATAAATAACAGTTAAATGCAATTTAGACAGCTAAAACCAGAATATCAATAATAACATAACATCATAGCAGGAACACCAAATAATAGTTTAACAACAGATTATCAAATGTCATAATTAAGATTAGCTTAAATGTCATAATTAAGAAAACTAAAATTTATATAAAATATAATTAAAATTATCAACAATTAAAATGCTCCTTAAATAAAAACGTCTCAGTCTGGCGCTGGAATATGTATAAGGACAGCACTTGATAAATATTCCTGGAAATTTGATCCCATAGATGGGGCACCACAACTGAGAAGGCCCTGCCTTGGGTAGCTATCCACTTAGCTTCCTTTAGAGATAGCTCCTGGAGGGGGCCTCTGATGATGATCTCAAGGGATGGAGATGTTCTTTCAGATATTTAGGTCCTAAGCATTTAGGACTTTACACATCATAATGACCATCTTGAAGTGGGCCCAGACCTCAATGGACAACCATGTTTATGTTGATTTTTATGTTGATATTTTGTTATAATTTATGTATATTGATATTTGTATTTTATTTATGTAAGCCATCCTGAGGCTTTTGCAGTAGGATGGCATATAAATATCATGAATGAATGAATGAAACTTAATCAATCAATAAACTTAATAAAATAGGACCAAAAGGTGCACTGGATGCCTTTACCCAAGGAACTATGTTTAATGTGGGGTCTAATTCTTGTCAAATTAGAAGGGATACTGCATTTCTTTTTGCTACCACTGGGAGTAGCTTCCACCATGAGTTGGGGTAATGGAAGTATTCATTGGTTTTGCTGAATCAGCACTCCAAAGAATTTATGTGCACAAAAATACTTTTTTGCAGGTTGGAATAGATTTTTAAAGGACACTACCTGTCATGCCTAACTATGTATCTGAGGGTGCCCAGCAAGTTACTATTACTATGGAAATAGTAACTGTAGGAATAACTGCAGTGTTTATTGCAAAAACAACTTCCCAATTGGTTGCCCTTGACTCTACAATCTCATTGTTAAAAGGAGTTTTGGTGATTCAAAACATTAATGTGAGAAGACTTGGATGGTTGCTACATTTTGATTTCTATAATTTTTATTACAGGAGTGTTCAATGTTTGCCAGAGTTTTCTGCTGGATTAGTTCTGCTAAGCAGGTAAGTTCTTGAATATACTTCCTTACAGTTGAGGTTCAGATAGAGTCTGCTTATTTTTCTGGAGATATGGGACTCTGAATTTGGATTTCTGTCTTTCCAACTTGAAAAGAACTGTGCTTAATGTGGTGCTGAGGTTGGAAGACAGGCCTCAGAGCTGGCATTAAGTGGGTGTCCCTGGAAGTGGGGAATGGAGGAACAAAGCTCTGCCCGGATACATTGTATTCTGGTGGTGTTTCAGAATGTCCTTCCAGGCTGTTGCAAAGGGCTTAGATGGCTATGCTCCTCTTACACTTGGCAGGTTGCCTTTAATCCTCTGAGTTTAGAGGCTTATGGGCAGCCATATTAGATTGTGTTTTAAGGTAGTGGTTTTCAACCTTTCCACAGCTGGAATCAGCAAAAGCAGGAAAACCACCTTGGGGACCACTGAGGCAGAAACAAAAAGCACATAATACAGTATTTCGTGTAGTAGTTTCCAAACCCAATACCAAAAAGAAATAAAGAAAGTTCTCCAAAACAACCAGAAACCGAGCAATAGAAAAGGCCAACAAAAGAGCAAAATACCAAAATCAGTGCAGTGTGGCTCCCTGCCAGCTCCTACTGAGCTGTCTCTCCTTTCCATGGCCCCCTTGGCAGCACCAGCACCCATGAATGTGATGCCAACTGAGGAAGAGGTGGTGGAGCACAGCCAGCCCCCATGCCGGTCTGCAGCAAGTGGACCAGCAGGAAATCTCCCATGGACTGGTAGTTGAAAACCACTGCTTTAAGGCACAAGCTCAATATTTGCAATGCAGGTTGTATTGCTTAAGCATGGTTTAAGTTCAGATTGGGAAATATTATTCTTATTTTTAACAAAGGTATATTCCATATGGCTTTTCAATTTGATTTACATTTTAGCTGTTGAAATGTAGACATTTCTTTAAGTGATTTGTATGGTCCTACATTTTTGAACTCTCCAAATCTGTAGGCTCTGTTCAACTGTTCTGGATAGGTGGTCATTGCAGAATTTAAAGCATATACTCTTGGTTGTACCTTTTATATTTCATGGTTTTTGAAAGAGCTTGAAAAGGATGAACACTAGTAAGCCTCATATGCCAGAGGGAGACTTTACAGTAAGCTTTTTTTTTTTTTTTTTTTTGGTGCTAAATTTCACAGGGAATTTACGTTGCAATCATATGCACACTTAACCTGAAAGTAAGTTTCATTGTACTTCTGAATAGTTTCCTGCTGTTAGTTGTTCTGAAAGCTTTCTGTTCGTGTGGTTGAAAACTTAACTTTTGCAGTTTTATACCACTGTGGAGTATTTGACAAAAGAGAAAGCAACTGTACTACAAATATGAGACTGCATTATAAATAGATTTATTGTCAGTGAACAATCTTTCTTTAAAGTAAGCACTTTAGTTCAGCACAGTTGAGTGTGGTTGTGCCCATCTTAATTAAGGGTTAAATAAGCACTCTAATAGCACATTTCCTTTGTTAAGGTATGAAGATACATGGGCAGCTCTTCACAGAGCAGCAAAAGAATGTGCCAGAGCTGGAGAGGTAAAATGTTTATCAATACCAATATGCAAAGGTGTTTTTTTTTTAAAAAAAAATCCCCCCTTGTTACTATTTAGATGTTTTGCATTCAGGGAAATGACATGCCTTTCATCTGAGCATTTTCCATATATTTATCAGAGTATGCAGTATATTTCAAAGTAAGTTTACATCTCTTTCATGTATGATACCTATAGAAACAGTTTCTAGCCAAGTGTATTACATCTCCATTTGCAAGTAAACCAGTTGACTTGTACTATTTTATGACATGCAGTAATATGATTATTTTCCCACTTGCTCTTAAACAAGTACGTATGCACAGATTTAATTCTATGGATCAGCATCACCACTTGTGGAAAGTCTTTTTTCCTGTTATGTTGTATTCTGTCATTTTTTCAAGTCCTCAAAGATATTAATTTTTAAGGGCATTGAAAATGTACATTTGTGCAGTGTATGCATTTTCCATAAGCATGGATGTATTATTTTTTAGGAATCAGCACAACTTTTGTTCTGTGCAAAGCATCACACTTTCATTTCCCTGATTAGATATATTTGTGTGAACACAGCCAGTTTGATTTAACTCAAGTGAAGCTAACTCAAGTGAAGCTGAAATGCTGAATTGTTGCCATGATCCAGTAATGTACTGAATAGGACTAAATATAAGGGCAATCTAGATATGATGGAAATGTTGTGAGGGCATTCTTTTGAATTGGAAAATAGTTTTCCACTGTTCTGGGTAGAATTGCATTTCCCTGAAAGATCAGGTTCACAGTTCAGATCAATCCCTATTGTTAGAAACTCTAGTATCTCTGTAGCGTAAACCATTCTCTACCAGTACAAGTCATATGACAGCTGAACACCTCAGAGAGTGAGCCTAAGTATTTATTCATGCACTGGTAACATCCTGCTGACTCTCTTGCAATGCCTGGTAAACAGAGTTGCCTCTGAAGACTGTTCAAAAGCTACAGTAACACTGTCGTTCACTGGAAGTGGCCCTATGTGATATGTTGCACTGGTTTGGGTACAGCTACAAAGATGCCAATGAAGCTTGGAAGAGAACTTTGGAGGGCTACATAAAATCCCATCTCAACAGGCAAACTATTAGAAGACTATAAAAATCATCTCAAGATAAAAACCATCATTAAGGTTGCCAGCTGTCTTTAGCTATTTGCAGACTGGCAAGTATATACCAAATCCTTTTTTTTTAAACTCAGATTTACAGTTTACTTATAAATGTATATGTTCAGTTCAGTAAAATATAATATACTATATAAAACTTAAGAGACTATACTGGGCAGGACAAGATTGCTGTTCTGGGAAAGATGGTTAGAACATGTAAGTTATCCATAGGTACTAGAACTGACGAGCTGGTGCTTTTCTAATTTGTACTGATAAACGGCTCTGGGCACTGTAGTATTAAAGGATCCATATTGTTCCATCATTGACCAGGCTTCTGAAAGCTTGGGCACCACAACGAGGTTATCTCCTGAGCAACTGAGTAATCTGGTTATAGGATCAAGCAGTCTCTTAAGTGCCCTGATCCTTAGGAGTTGAGGGCTTTGTAAATAAATACTAAGACCTTAAACCTGGCTCAGAATCACATAATTCCCAATCAGCTATAAAGCTTACTGGGTATCGTTGGACCAGTCATTCATTTCAGCTTAACCTACCTCACAGGGGTGTTGTGACGATAATGTGGAACTATGTAAACCATCTTGGGTTCGTCAGAAAAGGAAAAAAAAGGTAGAAAATGCAGAATAATAATAATAACCAAACAGTGCAGTTCCTCCAACGTAGGTTAACATACCATTGACAAGCTATTTCCATTACTAGCAAGGTTTCAGCTCCCTGCACCAATTGAAACTCAAACAACCTTGGTCCTGCATTCTGGAATAACTGGAATCTCCCTAGCACATATTCTGTACTATACTTTATGCATATATAGTTCCACCAATTATTCTTCTAGGACATTTGTCACAAAGCACCTACTTTAAAACATTCCCAAATTTCAACTTCCTGCTTTTATGGATTTTTAAAAATAAAACAAGCATGCTCAGTGCACAAAGATATGCCAGAATATACATATGAATGTATGTATGGCTTTCATAGTCATAGCTATGACAGAGTCATAGACATAGCTATGACTTTCATAGCCAAAACAGTCATCCCTGAAAAAAGGCACAAAGCAAGGTTTAAGTCAGACTACTTTAGTCTGTTTTTGAAGCTAAGTACCTAAATTTTTGTTAAGCATAGAAAAGGTCAATGAACCTGACATTTTTATGCAGATTTTCTCATTTTGCATAGCCTCAGAAAGGATTAAATCTTAAATTATCTGTACTTGCTGGTAGCTGAAAGTCATTGTTATGTAGCTTGCAACCCCTTGAGGGAAATTTCAGTGAGAGAGAGAGAGTTTTTTTCTGATTTAGTATTTTTCTTGCTACAGATATTTTCTACTAGGAGCAAAAATGACCCCACAACGTGATTAGTTGTAGTTTCTTGTTGAAAGGGGATGCAGCCCTACATAAACTGCTTTACAAGTAATTGTAAGAGCCAGTATGTGACTCAGGCAATCTGGATTCTAGTCTTAGTTCAGCTGTGGAGCTAACGGGGTGCCTTTGGACCAGACACAGACTTTCAGTCCGGCCTACCTTTTATTCCCACAACCTACCTTGTTGTTGTGGGAATAAAACTGAGAGCAGGATGAGGAGAATGATGTAAGCCAATCTGAGTTCTTAAAAAAAGAAAGAAAAAAAGGGTGGGATATATTGTATGGACTTTAGTGGTCAAGTTATCCCTGTCCAGGCTGTAATTATCTCACCAGCTAATGTTGTTAAAAGACACTCCTAGCCATTGAAGATACCTGCGCCTCCAGTGACAGCACTGGATCAAGGAGCAGGACTTTAATCCAGGCTACACATACACTCCCCCCACAAAAGTATAACTCCCATCCAGAACAGGTTGCTGATTCTATTCTTGGATGTGGGAATCATTTATCTACAGACGGTCTAGCTTGCCAGGATTCAGACTCTGTTTATTGTCCCTCATCCATTGTTGGTTCAAGGCTTGCACAGTCTCCTCTGGTTCAGGCATTGCACTGGAATAATGGTTGATACCATCAGTGTACTGATAGTACTTCCTGGAGGAGAGTGGTGCAAATACCATGGACCATCCAAAAGACAAGTGGGTCCTAGATCAAATCAAACCAGCATTCCATAGAAGCAAAAATGACAGAGCTGAGGCTTTCATACTTTGGATGTATCATGAGAAGTTCCCTGGAAAAGACAACCATGCTAGAAAAAGTTAAAGGCAGGGCAGAAGAAGAAAAAGGCCAAATATGAGATGGATTAACTCCATAAAGGAAGCCCCAGCCTTGAGCTTACAGGAGCTTAGTACGGATGTCATGGATAGGACATTTTGGAGGTTTTTAATTCATACGGTGGTGATAAGTCGGAAATGACTTGAAGGCACTTAAACAACAAAAAACAGATGTTATTTCCCTGCAAATCCCTAATGACCATATGTAGAGTTGACATCATGCCCTGCAGTATCCTAGAAAGCAAAAAGACTTTCCCCAACCTGTGACTTCAGCTCTGCAAAAAGGGCCAGTATCTCTGAAAAACAGTGCCACTGATACTGTCAGAATCCTGGAATCTCAATTTGAGAAGAGGAGATAAAACTCGGGTTTGTGGGAAAGACCAAGCGTCCAGACCATCTAAGGCTTTATTGTATTACCCAGGTTCCCGGTGGGTCCATACTCACGATAATACATTACCGGGCAGGCAGAGATAAACTCTGCTGCAAAGCTTCAACTACAGAGTTTTTATACAGAGTTTTTATACAGAGTTTTTATTCTAATTGCCGTGTATTGACACTTTAGTTCAGTAACTGAACCCATTTCCAGGTCTGCTTAGACATGTAAATTCAAGCTACTGAGAAACTATTCATGATAAGCTCAGGCCCCTATCTAGACTCTAGACATTCTGAATGACAGGGCACATGAAGCCCTCTGGGCTAGGAAGATACTTCCTGGTAAACTGTATTCCAGTGCCATAGTGACTTAGCTTGGTTTTGAGAAGGAGTACAGGATTTGATCCCACAATGCAAAAGCACACAGAAGTAATGCTTTTCAGACAGGATTTATCCAAATTTTCCCAACAATACCCATTCTACAAAGTTGATTCAGAAGGGTGCAGTAATCAACAGTATCAAGAACCCCTGAGAATTCTTGTGAGAGCAGGACAGCTCTGCCCTCTCCCAGTAAAGCTCATTCATCAGGCAATTTTCAGAAATAATTTTGTAGACTCTAAGGTTGTGTAGGTGAAATAATGGCATTGACACACATTTTATATGATACTTTTGATTACATCTAATGGATAGAATTAAAAACATTCTGAATTAGGAGTTATTATTCTAAGGCTACTAAACATAGATGTCTCAGTTTGTGCTTAGAGTGGAAAAGAATACACTTAGTGAATACACTGAAGGGATAAGTGTTGACTGAATAGGCCATACAATAGAAATTACAACTGATGGCAAATTGAGTTAATTACAGTCAAACTAAATATGTTCATTTACTTATGGAGGGAGTATTCGTAGGTATACAGCTTAGAAAATACATTTGCAGAAGTGGAAAAATAATGCTGCAATTTGGATCAGTAGTGTTTTTGTCTTGAGTTTGAAATGCCTGTCTTTTTTTAAAGTAATTGTTTCTAAGTTGCATGGATGCAATGTCTGTAAATTAGTCATAACTAACATTGCATTAAATATAGCAGTCCATTGCAAACCAAGGTCATATATTTAGCTTTAATATCTAGGTTGTCCGTCTGTTCAGAGGCTTGAAAGTAGGTTGTAACAAATTCTATAATGTTAGTTTTATATTTGGCTTGAAACATTGCAGCTGGTGGATAGTGAAGTTGTGATGCTTTCTGCCCACTGGGAGAAGAAGAGAAGTAGTCTCCTAGACCTTCAGGAACAACTCCAGCAAATTCCAGTATTTTTAGCAGATTTGGAATCCACAACAGCCAGCCTGAGTAAGTTATGTTTGCCTTGTTTGTTTCTTTTACACACACACACACTCACACACACACGTGCAAGTGCTGCATATACAGGCCCACTTTTTGGGAAAAATGTAAAAACAACAATAATAATATAAAATGTTAAAACTGCCCAGTTAAGTAACGCATCAGCATGCATAAATAAAAAATTATAAAATGCTTTCCTGAATAAGATTTTTTTTCAGAGCATGTTTAAAGATATAGGAGAAACTTGGAGGATTTCCTATGGTGCGGTGGGAAGTGCAATAACGGAGGTGCTACTGCAGAGAAGCCATTTGTCTGATATTCCTGAGTCTGATTAAAAGAGAGACTGAAGAGTAAGGTAGAGGGGAGGTTCATATGAGCAAAGATGCTTCCTTAGATAACAGAGTCACAGAACATACAGACCTCTAAAGATGGAAATAAGTCCCTTTAATTCAACTTGAAAATAAATTGGTAACAACTGGAAGTGGTGTGAGAGACTTTATATGGGTTAACTGCTTTCTGTTTACCAACATATTGTGGTAGCAGTTTGAACTTACCAGATTTTTGAAACTTTTTATGGTTAGCCTCAAAGAATTTCCAGTTAAGATGTCCATGTATTCAGTTGTATTTTGGCTTGCTTCTGCATAATCTCACCTATTATCTTGGTAATTACCTAATTTTCTAGTTCTCATTTGTGGTTGATAATTCTCTTCTTTCTCTCTTTTTTGCCAACCACATGCTGGTTTTGTTTTGTTTGGCCTGATGGCAACAAAGCAACACCACTTATAATTATGGTTACAGATTTACAAACCAGTGATCAAATTCTCTATGGGAAAGTTGCAAGATTCTGTTGACAAAATATCAATTATTAAAGGAATTTATTCTAAGAGTTGTTTTCAAATTGTTCACCAGATAGCCTAGTACAGTCCTAGAAGGAAATCATGATCAGTGGTATTGCAGGTGAATCAACAGAATCTAACTCCCCACTTTGTCTTCCAGTGAAGATCATCTGCCAGGGAGACTAAAGTTTAAGATGCATTATTTCTTCTACTAATGAATTCAGCTGCTGCATGCTGACAGTATTGTAGACAAAATGGGTTCACGGAGAAACAAGAAAGAGTTATCAGTATACTTTGGAGAATCCCAAAATTTGTACAAGTACAGAAAATCTTCTGTACTTCTGGGGAACAGAGGATCTATATATATAGATAGATTCCCGCCCGCCCCTTGAGATCAGCGGGAGAGGCCCTTCTCCGGGAACCCTCCATGAAGGAATCAGAAGGGTAAATACTCGGAGGAGGGCTTTCTCTGCGGTGGCGCCCAATCTATGGAATGCGCTCCCCAGAGAGGTCCGCCTGGTGCCATCGTTATTTGTTTTTCGGCGCCAGGTGAAGACCTTTTTATTCAAACATCATTTTAATTGTTAATATTATTTATTTATTTTTTTCTTTGGCCACGGTGACTTAATTTATACTGTTAAATTATATTGTTTTATATTATTTATTTATGATTGTGAGCCGCCCCGAGGCTTTGGCGAATGGGGCGGCATAGAAGTTCCCTAAATAAATAAATAAATAAATAAATAAATAAATAAATAAATAAATAATCTAAGCAGGTAGAGGGAGAACTCAAAAACAGTGCAGTGAGAACTAAGCATACTCAGTGGCCCAGAAGGCTCACTGTCTGGGGGAGAAAAAAATGAAATACCTTGTTGTGCAGAATGGAGAATCCTCAAAGGGGGCATGGTTGACTAAATGCACTTCACAATGCAACATTTTGTTGGACATCTCACATGTTCTTATAATTTTTCATAATACATTATAAATTCTTTCAGGAGTTTTAAAAATGCTGTTTTATTTCTTGCTATAAAGAGCTTACTTTTGTTTCCATAAGAATTATAAAGTGACTTAATTTTTTCTGTATGTTAATATTATGGCCAGAAAACTTTTCTCTGTTACTTAATGTTTTGACCTTCCCTTCCTTTGAGAAGTTCAGAGTGGTTATGTGCAACAGTCCTGTGAGATCATTTAAGGGGGGTGGGGGAGAGAGCAAGCGTGCCAGCCGTGGGCCAAGTGTGGAATGTGCTGGGATGTGCAAATTTAGAAAATCACAATCAGGAAAACCAGCTGCGTTTTAAAAAGAGCCCACTAGGGGATGCACAGTGACTACTTTTCAGATATCACTGACCAGTGCACCTTTTATTACCTACATTTATTCATTATTCTATTTTGAAAGCAGCAGGGTCTCTCTTAAAACAGCAGGGTATAATAATATACAGATTTACTTTGGAATAAAATTTGTTAGAAACCATGAGACTTAACCCTTGAGTAAATGTATTGTAATTTCAACTATTGATGCTTTGCTGATCTGCACATTGCCAAAGTTTTGTACATGTCTCAGCTTTTCAAACTCATAAAAGGGCATGACTGGAAAGCAAATATATTGTCTCAGTGACATCAGTGATCAGTAATATAAAAATATAAGAGAGAGATAGAAAATATTTTTTCTAATAGTATGCAGGAAAGATACATTTATGCATTTTATTTGCAAATTAGTTTGCTGGTCATTTGATTGCCATTACAAACTGAAACTGCTTTCTTTGAATGCATCATTTTTATTTTTTTAAGTGTTTGGATCATTGAAGGGGAAACTGTATTCTATAAGAACAAATTAAGAGCCATGTTGAATTAGACTGAAGTGTCCATCTAGTCTAGCATTGTTTCACACACTAGACAATCAGCTGCTTCTAGAAAGCCTTGAAACAGTACACTGGTGTAGCAGCAAGTATCCCCCTTATATAACGACAGGTAAAGGCACGTTGCTTCTAATACAGTAGGTAGTTGATAACCTTATCCATGAATCTGACTGAATTCACCTTTTAAAGCCATCTTAGTTGCTGCATATCACTATATCTTGTGCTAGTGAATTGATAGTTTTAACTGAGCAGTGTGAAAATGAGCACTTCCTTTTATCTCTTCTGAATCTCTCAAAATTCAGCTTCATGGCATGACCCTGGCTTTAGAACTATGAAAGAATGAGGTAAAAATCTCCCCATCTACTTTATCTACACTGTGCGTAATTTTATACATCCCTGTCTCCTATTTGGGAGTTAAACATTCCCATCTGTTGCAACTTTTCCCCATAGAGGAGATGCTCTTTGATCTGTTTGATTGCCTTTTGCTATACTCTTTTCAACTCTGCAATATAACAATATACAATATAGTTAGGAAGGCCTCGGCGCTATAGGCAGCCTATAAATACATGCATAATAAATATGTTAAGTGTATACACACCATGAATATGTATTGGGACATTAAGTTATTGGCAGTTTTATTTCCATTTCCTAATTATTATGGAATTTGCCTTTTTAAAGCTGCTGTGTGCTGGGTCACCATTTTCATTGAGCTGTCTATCACATCTCCAAGATCTTTTCCAGTTGGGATTCATTGTTTCAAAATGCCATATTCTTAAACAGACCTGTTCAAAAGGGAAGTCTGGATGACAAGTTAAAATTGAGAATTGGTTTTTGTGTTTATTAGCAGAGTTTATTATTAAACTATTTTATTTTAAAATATTACTTCCTTATATTTTCATCTGGTGAGTTTAAACAGTAGAGTACAGCTTCATATAATATAGAAGATATGATAATAATTTGTCCAATGAGCAGTATACTGGGGTCAAAAGAAGCTCTAGTAACCATCTCACAGTACTTCAGTGTCAGGGCTTCTGATGGAATGTTTTGAGCTTGGGCTTAGAAATAAACTTCAAGGAGTTGTGGAAGCCAGTCTGAAAGGGGGAAATTAGTTGTATAAGCCCCAAAATTGTTCTCCTGCCTTCATTCATAGCTGAGTCAGCTTTATTCCAATCTTCCTATTGCCTTGAACATCTTTCCCTTTGAAGACTTTAGTAGGCTGTAGCGGCTGCAGCAGTGGTAAAGCACAGGGCAGTAGAGATGGAGATGATATTCTCTCTTATCTCTGCTATACAGGGCAGAAAACCAGGTGGCCAATAGGATATATAGTTCTCCTGAGAATTCCAGCCACTGCAGTGTGGTTTGGAGAGGTGGGTGTGTTAGTTTCTGCATCTTGGATTGGCTCAGTATATAAATGTTAATTCCAGTTTGGAGAGGTAGGGAAAATAACTCAGTTCTCTGCAGTTTTTCAAGGTAATCAGGGGTGAGCTTAGCCTATCTCTGATTGATCTGGAAATTCCTCAAATAACTGTAGTCTTCCATATTGTGAAATATCCAAACTGACTGGCAACAGATAAATATTGAAGAAAAGCTCCATACAGAGGCTCATCATAGGAAGAACTGAGTGATGATGGAAGTAGGGGCAAAGGGGAAGGTCTAAGTATGAAGGCTGACACTTGGAAAGCTAAGGGATAGATAGATAGGAATGTGAAGGTAGATGGCTAGAGAAGGGGATGGGGAAGAAAATTCTTGGATTGAGAGTTAACTGCTTGATGCCAGTTAATCTACTTATACCACCTTTGTTACAGTGTGATACACAGAAAAGTTAAATACAGGTGTGTGGTGTAACTATTTTGAAACTTACCCAGTATCTGCAAAATATCTGATCCTGTGAGTGCTGTTATCCTAGGCTTGTCTGAGAAGCTGGATATTACTGAGATCCTAGGGCTTGCAAGAAATAGTAGATAGTTAACCTCCCTAATTTAAGTCCTTTTCAGAGAGAATAGCTGCACTAGTTAGGCTCTTCCATGGAGAGAAGTTATGCTAGGAAAGTGGCTTAGCAGAAGACTTAGGTCACTTCTCAGTACTTTCATAAAATCTCTTGATCACTCACTTAATTTACTGCCATGCCTATGGAATATGACAATCCCTGTCAGAACTCTTCAGTAGTGGTTACCAGAGTCTCTGAATTTGCTCCATTGAAATTTTAGGTGGAAGAAATGGTCACTGCTAGGAGGCTGCTGCACTTCAGAATTTTTCTGGAGTAAGTGGTGTTATGGCAGTGGTATTATTGGATTTTTCTGCATTGATAGTTCTTTGT